AAGGGAATTGAGAAAATGCATATGTCAGGAAGCTTAAGGTGTAGGAGATAAAAATGAACCTCCAAAACCCTAGGAAGAGAAAAAAACATGTGAAAAAATAGCATAATATATCTACACAAACAAATCTGAATAGAGGCATCAATTTGAAAGAACATTCTGAGTAGAAAAAAAATATTGAGGACCATTTTGTGATACAATTATGAAAGTTCTAGGACTGCAATCAGAGTTTTCCCATTAAAGGAGCACATTCACACAGAAAGCACAGACACATGCTAGCTTGTGCTTGCTATCTGCATGCACAAACACAGGCAGTGGTAATGCCTATTAGAAGATCTTTACAACCTTTCTCAATATCAATTTTTTCCTCTTTTTTTTATTTTTTATTTATTTTGATGATGATGTAAACAACTTTGAAGATTATGACACAAAACACATGGAATAATAACCACAGGGCCCTTCAGCAAGTTCAATCAAATGCATCAAAAATGGACTGATAATTTTTCTGCAGATTATAATTATCCTATCAGTTAAGGAGTTAGCTTGAGAAATGCACATCATTGGACATCAAATAAACGATGGAAAGGACACTAAGCTGCAAAGGGATCCTTGGTTTCAAGAGGAACAATGACTATTGCTCAAGCAAGCTTTGTCTCCAATGATCTTTTGATCATACAAGCATGAAGATTCAAAGTAAGGCTTATACAAGTTTAAAAAATTTAAACAATATCATAGAAACCCATTCAACATAAGAACTTCTTGACTGTTAATATAATTAAAGAACAATATTTTCCCTCCAAATTTCATCATATGATTTTAAGATAGATATATGCCATGGAGGAACCAAAGATAGTCAGCAGAAAACCACAGGTCTTATGAGTCCTCTCCAAACTCAAAATGAATGGTTCCAGAATAGAAGCAGCGCCTAGTTCAGGGTATTTCAGTAAACTATTTGGGTAATAATTTCCAAAATTTCTTGTCTTCCCTTTATCCATGTCATAAATGAAGCCAATTATCAATATTCATATATAATCAGGAGGCTCTTACTCAAGGAGACAGATTATAAAGAAACCAAATAGCTGACTTTGAAGTTGAACAACTGAATGATATAGCCGTTTCCAGTTAATTTGTTTTTTATTTTAACAAAATTTAAAATCAGTAGAAATTAGCAACACCTATTTCATAAATCTTGCTCGTGTGCACAAGAACCTACATTAAATTTGCAGAATACTGCCTTTTCAACATTCCTGAATTCTAATCTACAACTCAAATTCAAAAAGAAATCTTTGCTTCAGAAAAAAAAATGAAAGTAAAGAGTGCTGCTACCAACAGAGAGTTGACGACAAGAATTGCCATCACGACTGCATTAGAACACTACACCCAAACTGTGTAACAATTTTATTTAAAAAAACCTCCATGCCATCACCATCCTCACCGCCACCATCATAACTTACAAGCTTCAAAAGAAAACAGATTGTTTTCACTTTTCAGAATTCCAAAAACAAAAAAGCACCATGCTCTTTTCTTTTTTTTGATTAACTTGGGTGTCCAGCCAGCTTGCACGCATAATTCCAAAAACAGAAAAACAAAAAAGCCCCATGCTCATTTTTTAATATATAAAGAACTGTCATCAATATCAGACAACAACTTAGTTATCATGTCTGTTTAACACAAGAAACTAAATCAATGAACACAAATAGTAATCACGCTTATGCAACAAACTCATCAATCTAATTTTAACGAAAAGATCGGAATCAATGTCTCTATTCCTTCACTGACTAGCTAATTTACTCACTTCATTCAATATATATATATATATATATATATTCAAATCAACACCAAAAACAAGACACCCCGGGTGCCAAAATCGAAACTTTAACCAAAAAATAATCGAAGATCAAGAATTTCATTAAAGCACATACATAAGATCCATATCTACATCAACAACCATTATTATCAAATGCAGAAAAAGACACAAGACACCATTAAAAAAAAAATTAACAACAGATCAAGAAACCAAGAAAAGAATATGGTTGAACCATGAAATTTACCAGAAGCAAACCCTCTATGAGAAACAGAGATCCTAAGGTAAGAAGCAGCCCTTGAAGCCCACAACAATCTTGACGCCATAATAAGAGAAAGTGATGAATCTCAAACAAGCTCTGCTTCTCTTACAGAACACGGTACACTGACTTTAACTTCCCTTTTCTCGTACTACTGCCACTTGAGTTTTGATGTCTTGGGGGGTTGGTGGGAGTTTTATTTTTGTATATTAATTGTTGGTAAAATAAATAAATAAATAATTGGACTGTGTATATATTTATATAAAAAAGTCCAAAACGATTTACCCATTTTCAGTTAGGTCCTAAACACTGAAAATCCCAATGCTTCTGCCATCTATTATGACATTATCCAATTAATCCTCTCCTTGATTTTTTTTCCCTTTATATCATAAAAAAAACCCTATTCATGTTAAAACAAACTATTTTATTTTAATTTTTAAGAATACAATATTTGACAAGAAAGATTATTAAATAATCATACAAAATTATAAATATTATCATTGTAACTTACCTTTTATGAGAAAGTATTGCATTAAAACTATCTAATAAAAATAAAAGTCTCTTATTATACAAAGTGATTGAAGTTTTTCCAACTCAATATATGCCCAATACATAGATGTAACTATACTGTCATTTGTGAATATCATTAAATAATTAGTAAAAACAATTAGATTTTTATGATTAAAAAAATAAGGAAACTTTGAAAAAAGAGAGAAACAAAAAGAGACATAATATTTAATGTCTTTGATTATTATTTAAAAATTGATATTTATTAACATTTTGATACTAGATAAGAGAAACTACTTTTTTCCTGAGGAGCCTAAATTTTTTGGTCATCTAATGATTGTTTATTTGAAAAATGGGGGATCTAATTGGAAATGTATTTTGTTTGTAACCTAAATGAAAATAACATGATAATTAGAGGAAAAACAAGATGTCATTTTCCCAAAATAAAAATAAAAGGGAGGATATGGTGGTGGGTCAATGTGTCAACAAACCCATTAGGCAGAGAGTTGGTGAGTGCTGACTATTCTTGCTGTCGCCACTTGCTAGTGACTGGTGCTCAGTGAGGGCCCTCGGATGGGGCTGGTGGGCTGCCGGTGGGAGATGTTTTCCTTTGAGGGTAAATTATGGTAGAGTTTCCTTGCAACTCTTGGAAATGAAACTCTCAATTTTTTGAAATTTCCATGCAATTCTTGGAAAACATTCGTCCAGATATGATGCATCCTTGATGAAGATATAGCAGTTTAGAATTGTGTTCCAAGCATTTCATAAAGTTTTGAATTTTTTTCTTATATAAATTTTTTATATATATATTTTTAAATAATTTTAATGTATTAATATAAAAAATAATTTAAAAAATATTATTAATATATTTTCAAACAAAAAAATAAAAATATAATTACTATTACATTCTAAATAACCTCTCCACTCTACGACAAAAAATAAATCCAGCTTTTGATGATCATAGGTTCACGTTTAAAGCTCTAAACTCAAGACTTATGGCCCAAGGTTAAACGCAAACAGGCACGTTCATATCAAGGTTGGATTTTAAGTTGATTTTTTTAAGGATTTTTTACTAAAATTTTCTGAGTTTTTTGAAGTTTGAACTACCCGTCATCCCACTTTTATGGGAGTGCCCAAATTACATACTAAATCTTGATTGAGTCCTCAAAATACTATTTTTCTCAATTAAGTTTCTTTTCGGAAGATAATTATTAACTACACTAATATGTTTAAAATATTCACAAATATTTAATATAAAAATAAAATTTCTACAAAATGGTGTCATTTTCAGCACGTAATCTATGCAATATAGTGGAATAAATTGATTTATATAAACGAAGGGACTCAATTAGAATTATTGAGCCTTTGGGAACTTAATTGGAACATAATTCTTTAAAATCCCAATTGGGAAATGAATTAAAGTTTTGGAACTAATTTGAGATTTATTATAGTTTCTTTACAAAATAGTCTACCAATTATGAATTGCAAATAACAATATTTTTATCAATGTTTCGTAGATATCTTTTCTTGTTGAGTTAAGATTTTTTTTTTATATAACATGATAATAATAAAAAAATAACTATATAATTTTATATTAAATAGGTAAGAGATAATTCAATTAGATTCAATTATAAGTCAATATTTAATTTAATATTTTTTTAAAAAAATAATAATATATTATTTTATATTCATTCAAGCTAGTATGTCTAACTACTCACCCAAATATTATATCAAATCATGATTGGATCAAGTTTAATAACTTTACGTAAAAGTGGGTTTGTTGGAGTATAACTTGTGGTACTTAAAAAGAGCTTAAATATTTTTTTTATAAATAATTAAATATCCTTTTTTTTAATGAAATAAAATTTTTTTAAAGATATATTAAATCTGATTAGATAAGTCAACTCGGTATTTGTTGATATAGAAAATCACTCATATAAAATTTTATATTAAATTAGATAAAAGATGATTCAGATCCAATCTACTTGGATAGAAGTTAATATCTAGTTTATTTAAAAAAAATAAAATAATATCATTTTGTATTAACTCAATTCAATTAAGTTAATCTATTTATATAATAACCTGAATTTATCCAAATAATAACAACCTAAGAATTATATCAAATCATGATTGGATAAAGTTTAATAACTTTATGTAAAAATGGATTTATTGGGGCTTAAATATTTTTTTCTTATAAATAACTGATCATTTTGGCACATGCATTCACTTCATTTGCATAATATATTATTTGGTAATAAAAAAAAAAGAGAACATAATGCAAATATTTCATAAAATTTGAAAAAAGAAATCATTAAAGTGAAACTATTTATTTTTTGAATACTCTTCTTATGTGTGGACATTGAGAAAACAATTATTTTCAATAACAACTTATTATAGTCAAATTCCATCCAAATATTTAACATGGAAAGGTGCTTTTTTATTTTTGTAAAAAAAATCATTTCCTATAATAGTATTCCATCCTTTTCTTTTGAGTTTTATGGACCTGATCAAGGAACATTAATCATGCAGGAAGAGCAGCCTCCATGCCCTTATGCATTGTTCTGATTACAGTGGTAACCTGTTCAATTTGATCTTCGCTTGAGCATGCTGATAGAAGTACTTTGGCAGTTCCTCCATCAGGGTGACATCCAGCATCAATCATTTCTTCAAAGATTTCCAAGCATCTTGCGTATAGTTTCTTTCTAGAGTAGGCTCCCAATCTTGAAGTCCAAGTCACAACATCAGGTTTCAGATTTTTGGTTGGAAGTGATTGGAAAATACCTTCCATTCTCTCGAAAAATCCTGCTCGTCCATATATGTTGATTAAGATGTTGTATGTACTGATATCAGCTCCATAAGGTCCCTTTTCCATTGCAGTAAGAACTTCCTCCATCTTTTCAAATTGGCCAAGCCGGCCATACAAGTGCATCATGCTGTTGAGGACAAACGTGTCTGGTTCAAGCCCAGATTCGCTCATCTGGTTAACAATTTCCTCGCATTTATCCACATTTCTTGCTCTTGAGTAGGCACAGAGAAGTAGCATGTGTGATTTCATTGTAGGGGTTATTCCTAGTCGCTTCATCTCATTGAATACCGCTTGAGCATCTAAAAAGCAAATAGGAGTAGCCAAATCATTAAGCCAAAATTACGAGGAGCATATACGAAAAACAAGAGGAACTTCTTCCAAGTACGAAAGGTGTTAAGAGGAACTTCTTCCAAGTAGGAAAGGTGTTGCAAATGGATGAAATGCTGATAGCCTGATAATATCTCATACAACTTTATCTTGTTTCCTAGGAAATCTTAGAAAGATTATGGCAGATCTCCAGAATAGAATTGAACGCTGTTCCGAAATATAATCCAAATGTTGCAATATAGATCCCTTCAAGTTCGTAGTTGATCCGAACGTTTTTAAACCATTACATGCTCCAACTGTTCCCAAATTCTCAAAGCTCAATCTTTCTCCAATTCTCACTTTTTGAAGTACATTGATATTATTTGGTTCAAGCATCTTACCCTCATGAAGACCAGCTCTCCCATACGCATCTACCATGATGTTATATGAAGCTCTATCCGGCTCACAGCCCATGTGCCGCATGAGTGAAAATATTTCTGCAGCCCCGTAAGGAAAACCTGCACGACTGTCAGGACAAGATAGTTAAATATCATCAGTTCTATTGGGAATCTCTTGGAAGCAAGAAGCTGCACCTCCAGTATTCTTTTTTATTTTCTTTGAAAGATTATTGAAACACCATATCATTCTATGATACTAACCTGTAAGCTTCCATGAGCGCATTGTAGGTATACACATCAGGCTCAAGCTTATCTTCTTGCATCTGCTCAAATATTTCTTCTGCCTTCTCACAGAGTCCCTCTCTAGCAAACGCGTTCACCAGAGCTGTGTATGTGCAGATATCTGGTCTGCATTTTTGACTTCTCATTTCGTTAAACAACTTCAAGGCCATGTAAGATTGACTTGCCTGTGTACAGGAAAAAGATTAGCAAAATGAGTTTTTAAGGATCCTAAACACCACTGCTGTCCAGGGTTATCAGAATTAATAACCATATCTTTGAATTTAGTCTGATAATTGTTTGGAATTGAATGCATATATTTCAAGTTGTTTGTTGCATCACTGTAGACTCGTAGACGTACGAGTTAAGCATAATTTTCTACTGGGACCAGTGGTATTTCAAGAAGATCAGATTTGCAGAATAATTCAGAACCAAATACCACTGAGCTTACCTTCCCATGAAGGTTGATCAACAGTGTATAGGTGTCAGTAGAGGGCTGGCAGCCATCATTTTTCAATCGATGAAAGATCTCAATTGCTCTTTGAGGGTTTCCAGCCTTCATTAACCCATCAATATAAGCATTGTATACAATTGCACCTGGCCAAAATTAGAGTATACGCTCACTTTTCACTCATTGAATGTGCATGCAAGTGTATCAACAGAACAGCTAGAAAAATGAAAATCTGAGACGTGTAAATAAGAGAACGAAACACAAAAGCAGAACTAATGCCCTGTATTTGACCACCGCAAAAAGAAGAGAAATAACCCACGCATTCTCATAAAGGAAAGCTACAGAAGCAAGTTTGTCAACCAGGAGAGTCTAGCCTAATCCAGTTCCGGTCTAGCTAAATTAGCAAGGGGTCCCTCTTGGTTTAATCAACCATTCTCTAAGCATGGTGATGTAGATAAGGAATAGTTATCACTACTATTATAGTAGCAACAAGAAATATGCAGACCATGAACCAATCTTCTCTTTTCCTACGTTTAGTATACTTCACCCCCGAAAAGAAAAAATAAACACAGTTCTGTGCAATTATTGAGCGAGGTTTCAAAATTTAAAACGAATTTAACCCCACAAAAAATCAATTTTTGAGGAAAAGAATCTTAAAAGTTGAGGAAATTTTTGATTTATAAGAAATGGTTGATGTAGTCCAATAACTTCTTGAAAATACAATTCCCCTGAAAGCTAAGAAGAAATGAATTGGTAAACACATACTTGGAGGAAGGCTATACTTTCGCATATCAACAAAGGCAGCTTCAGCTTTTTCTAACAATCCACATGCACAGTAAGCCTTTATAAGAAGGGCATAAGTGTCTTCAGTAGGGATACACCTGGCATGAAGAAGATCAAGATATGTTTCTTCTGCCTTCTTGCACAAAGATTTTTGCCCATAAGCATCTATTAGTAAATTGTAGCACATGACATCTGTCTGGAAGGAGCTCTTGTACAATATCCATTGACATATCTGGAAATTTTAGAGTTGCACCCAACAAGATTATTAAGAATTAAAAACACTCGATATTAAAAATGTCGATATAATAAATAGACAGTGAAGAGATTTGTTTCATTTAGTTGTAGGAAAATGCTGGTATATGAGAATTCCAAGCACCAACTGCGGCACCAACCACTTAAAGGAGATTTGAACAATCGAGGATTCAGTCTTAAATTTTGAAGAGAAAAATGCTGTGCAAACATCCTGCCAAAAAAATATGTGCGTGCTGGGTGGTTTAATCCATCGGCTATCACCCACCAAGATGAAAGAAAAAAGGCACGATTTACTCACCAATGCAATCAGATCCCATTGTTTATTCAAACGAAGTTGGACGGCTACATTAATAAGATCATCCCAAGTCTCGTGAGTGACAGGAAGAGTATCAAGAGCAGCCCAAACATTATTCGGATCCACTTCTTTCCGCACAAAGTTCAGAATCTGATGAGCAACAGGACTTAGCACCGGGAAAATCCCATCAACAAATCCTGATCCATATTTCCATCCTTGTCCCCTCAAAGAGCCACCTAGGTAAAATAGATGACTTAATAATTAAAGCCATATTTTCTTGAGAAGTTACATGTATGAGCACAAAGTGAATTACTCCGTATTACATCGTTTCCTGGACATCTTTTTGTGATCAAAGATTCGCCATTTGCCATGTTTGTCGATATAGACCCTGTCGCTTTTCCACTTTTTAACATCTCCACTAATTTGCCATGTTTGTCGATATAGACCCTGTCGCTTTTCCACATTTTAACATCTCCAATACTGGAATTCTTTTCTCTGCGTCTGAAATGACCATTCCGGATTCTTGATTCTATAAAAATATGATTCAGTGTGCATCTAACAAGCAACCTGCAAACACTAATCAAGTAAACACACAATTGCCAGCAACAAACATACACACCTCTTAATTTAAAGCCATTACACAGAGGAAGCAACCAAATAAAATCCATATAAAGGATGCTTTAGACTTCAAAATAATTGGACAAAGAGAGACACTAAAACTACTTTTAATCACAATAGCAAACACATGAAATGCAAACCAGAAAACCTAGTTAAAAAAGAAGAAGAAAAGTTGTCAACTTTCCCTTTCTAAACCAAATATCTTCTCCCTTTCTTCCGCAATAATTCTTAACTGCTGTGAGTATAGGTTGTATTTTCATTACAGAATCAAATATTAGTCTAATCTATCTGATTAAACTACAAAAACCAAAATTTGCAAGATAAACAAGGCCACAACTGTTGAAGACTGGTTAGAGTTCAACAACGATAAGCATAGCACCCTGACAGCTAAAACTGGTCCATCATCTTATAACTTCTTAAGTCACGGTAAGACTTTTCAGATAATGATGATTGCTCGTTCAATATATATGAGAGCCAACAAAATGCTAAAATGTTATAACTAATAAGAACACAAAACAATTTAGACATACTCTCTCAAGTGAACGTTGATACATAGCAATTCCATTGAAACCCATTTCCCAGAACAAGAAATTCCATGAAAAAGCAATATTATCCAGCTAGAGGAGAAACACCAGAATTGAAGTTAATAAATACAGAAAATAACAAGGCAGCATGAACAGCATTAGCAGTGGCATTGCATAAGGAAAGAGAGGAAGGAAGGATACGACTTACATGAAAGCATAAAAGAGGAGTTTGGAGTTGGGAATCTGTAAACATCCAGAGAGCAAGAAGATATGTGAAGAGTGTTTCTTGGATAATGGACTACATGGGTGAAGACCAGCACTGCCAGACAAAAGCAGCTTCTGTTTTTTTCTGTTTACTATGGGACAAAAGCCTCAAAATATCTCTAACGAACTTAAGGAGTCAAACAATAGCATTATTGTAGCCTCGCGGTGTCTGAGGTTGCTTGGGATTCTATATCGAGACAGTAGCTTATAGCTAGAATAATCAATTCTAAAAAAGTTCATTTTTAATAATAATAAAAAAAAGAAGAAGATCAAATGTTAATTTGTTTAAACACAATGGACAAATTATTGTCATTATTATTAGTATAATTTAACAGCAAAAACTCCAGCATGAGACCTGTTGCAAAGACGAAGCTATGAAGTGCCAATTGAGCTGCTATTTACTAGCAGAAGTTTCCATGCTAAAAAAGCGAAAACTGCTGTTAAAAGGGTTATTGAGGTCGCGATGATTTTTTTTATTTTTTTAATATTAATTTTTTTATATACTTTTAGACTTAATATTAATTTTTTAAAATAATAATAAAAATATCGTTTTAATATAATTCCAAGCAAAAACATATTTCAAGGGCGAACACTTCCATTCTCTTAATATATACGGGGTTACGTCATGCATTTCCATTTTTACAACAGTAGTTTTGGCTGCAATTAAGAAGGGGCTAAATAAGCTATAACTTTTGTGTGACTTGGATCAAATTGAAGAACTTGAAGATATAGAGTCTAAACTGAAAAATTGAGGCAAGTACAAGGACCCAAAAATAAAGGAAGCATTTTAATTCGATATCCATATTCCATGGTCCCTCTCCTTCCCTCTTCGGGGCTCCATTGGAATTAAATGAGAACGGCCATATTACAGGTCAAGCATTGAGAGGAGATAAATATAATTGAAGAGACCAATTTTCTGCACTCTGTCAAACGTATCATATAGGAAATCATATTGATGCAAAACTTTAGAAGCCATCTAAGATTGGAGAGAAGTCTTATAACATTTCCACATCACAGTTCTACAAACATGGAATTAATGGAAACTTCGGCTAAAAGCAACTGATTCAAGCAAATTCCAGAGGAAAGTAACACAAGTATCTCTATTGGTGTCAATACTGGGAAGAACTCCACTTTAGCCAAAAAATACAATGTCTATTCCACTTCAGCCAAATAATCATCAATTTCGGCTGGAGTTAGTACCCTGCAGTAAAGAAAGCACAAGGGATAAGATTGCCATGGTCATGTCACATATAACTTCTTCCAAGGAAGCTTAAACATCCAAAGAAAGAGTGGATTGGCCATTTTGAATGAGTCTCGTATGTAAATTGTCAGACTGAAATTAGAGCAAGAGTGCGAGAAAATCAGAACTTCAAAAATGAAACCACAAGTGGAAGGCCATATATGAAATTGGTGAGATCCAAAAGATTTTTGATATCAGATTTTATCTAGTTATGAACCGTGTTAACAAAAATGTGCATCCTGCAAGTTACTTCTGAAACTCATCCTAAGCTTCAAATTACGTGACACTATTACCAAGTTTAATAAGGAAAAAGGTCAAGAAAGAGCATGCCTGAATTGCTTGTCAGCACCAATTATCCCAATTTCAATGTTTTTCCCAGAAATCTGGCCTTCAAATCTGCAAACACAAACAATCTTGTAAGGGTACAAGGGAAGCACTCAGAACTTGTAAGAAACTTTAAAATGCTCACTTATATCTCTCTGACCACTTTGCAAATACTAAGATTATGCTCACTAATCCACCATCACTCTGATTGTAGAAGCAAGAGTCAACAAATTGACAACTTCTTAAAATCACTAAGAGGAGAGAAGGAATCTTTAATCACCTGCAAGTACATTTGATTGACACTGGGTTGAGAAACTTTCATTCATTTTCACTTAAACAGTATCTCACATAATTATATCTCCTGAACTACTAACTAAAGTGTTGAGAGCCAATTTAAGTTCTCAAGGCTGAAGACCCGAGCTAAACTACTGTTACCCAGAATTCATTTTACCTACGACACTCAGAACGTGTGACAGACAATCACAATACCTAAATGGCTGGATTTATCAGTAAATCAATCAATTATGTAATCAACCAGGTGCAAGTGCATGGCGCAAGTATATTAAATCTACTGAAAATTTTTCTTCCACTTTTTATATACCAAACCTTGTAAAAAACACCACCGCTCAAATTCAAAAATAAAAAGTGGAGGAAATTTTAAAGTGATGTACCCCTCTTTTAGTGTCAAGATAGCGGTGTGCACAGCATCATCAACCTCCATATCATCAGTGTATCTACAGAGCACATGCTAAGTTAGGGAAAACGAAATTTGTTCAAATCAAATGAAGATGGGGACAAAAAACCACAATATTTACCATGTTTCTGTCCATTCAATTCTTTTTTTCTCAATTTCTTTTTTCTTTTTCTTTTTTTTTTTATAAAAAAAAGACAATCCAATTCTTCTTGTATGGGAAAGATGAAGTAAAATAAATTATATAAAGAAAGAGGGGAGTAGCACAAAGTATGCTGGCAGTTGAAAATTGAAAGTAGCTTGAACTTTGAATGAAGAATATGTTTAGCAGTTGATGGCTGGAGGTGGAAACACATTTGTTGCTAGCTAGGAGAACCCATGAAGATGTTTAGAAGTTTTTGCAGAATCAATGCATTTCATGGTACCAAAAACAAATAAATACCTCTTCTCAAGAAATGTTTTTGCATTTGAAACATTCTTCCCCATTGCTGAGGCTTTCCATGAGAAGTAGGAACCTGATGGATCGACCTAGCCAAACAAATACAAAACATAACATCATCAGAAGAACTATGATTTGAGTGCAGGAGTCTAACATATTTTTAAAAAGGCAACACAAGTGAGTCATAATCCATCCAAATCTCAACCAAGAAAACAAAAGGTCAAAAAGTTATCAGCCACTCTGGGCACACAGAAGGGTGCATAATAGTCACAAAGGCCTACAGCTTCTAGAATACTGAGCTACCCCAGTCTACAGAGGATAATCCAGATAAAAACAATAAAAAAACAGTTAATGACTTCAGACAATATTATGAGGAAACACAGATACCTGGTACAGCTGTGGACCTTTTTCATCAAAACCAGCAACTAGCAAAGATACTCCAAAAGGCCTTACACCTCTGCAAGGAAAAACAAAGGATGAGTATTTTCAAACTTCAAGGATAAGAGCATGAAGAGTTGACATGCTGATGCAGGAACATAGGGAGAGAGTTGTTCGGTTATTAGAATAAGAGCTAAGGTTATGAACTTTGGAAATTGAAATTCTGATCTAAATTACAGAGGAAATCAACTAAAACCACTGAAACACTTCGAATGTATAAAAGATTTTCCAGTACCCAGATTGAGTAAACTCTTGCATGACAGCAGCAGTTTCCCTCACAAGTTGTGTGACAGGAATTGGTTCCTACAATCACAAAAATTCACAAGTTAAAACCTTCACGATTAACAACAAAAGATGACAATGAATTGATATGAAATGGTAATTGGACACTCTTGGATTTCATGCTAAATTCAGCTGTTTTTGGGGTCAGAATGGCATTATTGGGAATAAGACAACTAACAATAAGTCTTGTAATATAGACAACCTCAATAACTACTTTCCAGATATATCATCTTAACCGGGTTATCAAGCATTAGATGAATTATATACATGAGTTTGTTTAGAGGCGTCAAAAGGATGCACATATCCCATTCATAAGATAAGCCATGAAAATTTAGCAACCTTATCACTTATCGGTGACATTAAAATAAGAGCTGAAGAACAAACGTGAAGCAAAATAATAAAGAAAATCTTGAAGATGGGTACCTTGTACAGCCTATGATATTGCTCTGCTTGCTTCCTACTTTTCCGAACCAAAACTCGAAAGTCAGGACCCATTCCACTGCAACAAAATACATGTGATTCAGCACTGTCAAGAAAAAAGTACATTCGAAAATGTTTACTTACAGAAGATTCCACTGCAACAAAGTGTTTCTTGAATTTCAACCAAAGAATATAACAAAACCAATAAAAAAATAATAAATGTTTACTTACAGAAGATTCATCGACTAAAATAGATGGCAATTTCTTCTCAGTTGCAATAACAACACCGTTTGCCGCTACAACACCAAAAATAATAAAATAAAAAGCATAGTATCTAAGCACCCATCAACAACACAGTACATTCGAAAATGACAAGAAAATGAGAGAGAGAGAAAAGAGAGATAGCTTAAATTGCAACAACCTTTGATTCCGAGAGAAGTTTGGCCTGATCCAACGGCAGTCAATGCGTGCTCAATCTGTACTAGCTTTCCGGTAGGACTGAAAGTAGTGAGAGAAAAGGAGTACTGGCTATCACCCATGGTTTATTGCTTGACGACGCAGAGATGAAAAACTGAGAATGCGAGCGTGTGGGAGAGAAAGACAGGGACATTTACTTGGGGTTTTAACATTGCTTTTCTTGTTGGAGAAGAAGGTGTTTTCTTACGAGGGCTTTTACAATGGAGTATTTTGAGCTTTTATGACGGCAGGTTGGCCCTCTTTACATTGAGCTGAATGGAGGCTTTGAACCAGTTTCGTTTTTAAGTATTATTAATAAATTTTTATTTATTTATTAACATAAATATTTATTTATTTATTTGATTATATGTACATAAATTTTTTAAATTATAAAAATATATTTAAAGAACTAATTTTTTATAAAAAATAAAAATATTTGACTTTCAATAAATCACTTATATTTTTAGAAAAAATAAAAATATTTAACTAATAAAGTAAATTAGGTTTTTTCACTGAATTTTGTTGAAGATGAAGATATTTTGTGTTAGGTTTAAATAATTTGATTTAGATTTAATTCAAGTAAGTTTGTTTTTCAGTTTTTCAGTGTAGTTATAGTTATTTTTTAAATAATTTTTTTATATTAAAATATATGTTAATAAATTTTTTTATTTTTAAAAATTATTTTTAACATCAAATATTTTAAAATATATAAAATATATTAAATTTTAGCATAAAATTATTATTTTTTGAATATTTTAGAAAAACGGTTTGGTAGCCCCTTATCAGATGAGGCTCCACGTTATAAAGGCATAAGAGAGAGAGAGAGAGTGAGAGAGAGGGAATGTGAGAAATAATTACAGTAAAGAGGATGTGAGAGAGAAAGGGATACGTTTATCACAGCTGCAATTGATAGAATAAATGGCAAGTAGGAAATAAAATCCAATTACAGTAAATAGGTAATATTGAATGAAATACTCCATGTAAGCAAGGCTTATATATTATTTTACACTCAACCTTAGCAAACTCCAATAAAATAATTACTACCCTCAAAGCAGGTTCTAAAGAGTTCTTTTGCCACTTAAGCACTCAACCTTCCTCACCCAATCATCAAAACAAATGTTTGGGATGTGAGAAATCTTTTGCCAATCTTCACCCATCTCCTCCTCGTAACGTTTCCTTAAATTGGGGCAACTCCTTATGTGTAATTCCTGTAGAGGCGCTGCCAAGACATAGTCTGGTAGTTCTCTCAACAACGGGCAATTACGAATTGTCGACTGTCGAAGTTGTGGCATAATGGATATTGAAGTTGTGGTGGCATCTTCTCCTCCCACTGATCTCCTTTCAATTCCATCCCCCTCTTCTACTTCTTTGAGATTCCAAATCTCAAGTTTTTTTAATTTGGGGAAAGCAGTGACCCTTGCAATATCTCCATCATTAATACTGCCATTCTCATCTTTTTCTATACCTAAAAATCCAGCATCCAACCTTCTCACCTTCAACGACCTCAATTCCAGGCTTTCAAGGTTGGGCAATCTCCCCAACGGAGGCAAGACCTCCACGTTTTCACAATAACGGAGTGTAAGCACCTGTAAACTGGTTAATGTCATCATCCAATTTGGCAATTCCAACCCTCTGTACCAACATATGGTTAGATATTCCAAGCCTGACGGAGGCTGTAAAGCTTCAATTACAATGCCGTTCTCCTGGTTGTAGTAGAAATTCAATTCCAAACAAAGCAGGCGCTTCTTATTCTTGAGTTGTGCTTCTGCAGCACCACTCGCATCTTGTAGATTCCATATCTTAAGACTCCCTCCAATGTGATTTAAGTTTTTTAATTCTCTTAGATTAGCTGCTTTACTCTCATTCTCACCACCACCACACACAGTAAACCAATCTAATGTTCGAAGACATGTTATCCTCTCTATTCCCTTTGGTATGAAGGCCACACCTGAACCATAAATCTGGAGATGCCTCAATTTGATAAGTTTTCCAATCGCCTTAGGTAATTGCTTGAGAGACCTACACCGAGTAACGTCTAGGGATTGCAGATTGCATAAATCACACATGGTTTCTGGCAGGGACTCCAACACCATACAAGATGCCAAATTAAGGTGTCTCAAATGTATCAATTTCCCTATCTCGTTTGGTATTTCTTCGGTTGAAGACCTTGACAGATTCAATGACCTGATGGATGTCAACTGCTTGAACAAATCAGGCAGTGCAGCTCCAAGCGAAGGGTCTCTAGTGTCGATCAAGAGGCTGCGAAGACCTTTTGCTTTGTGAATGGACACAGGAAAAGAGCTCTCCTCTGATAACATCATACTTAAATGACGAACCGTTTCAATTGAAGTCTCCACTGTTGCTTCTCCAAGGTTGTTGACATCCACTGTTAGACATTCATTTTTTGTCATATATTGGGCAAAATCATGCACTATATCATGCATCTTGAATTTCTTTCCTTCAAATTTATCCGTCTCAAAATCTCGGAAGAAAGAGCACGCTGCTAAGACTTGAAAGTACTGCTCTCCTACAAGCTCCATATCTCCACCTGAAGTCTCCTTGAGGTAACCTTGAGCTATCCACATCTTCACCAATTCATCTTTGACCATCTCGAAGTCGTTTGGAAACATGGCACAATACAAGAAACATCGTCTTACCACAGAAGGTAAATCATAGTAACTCAAAAGCAAAGGTATAAATATTCCTCTTTCAACCTGATCTCTATCAACCTCATCTGGCCCCCACAGTTCGCTAGATAAAACACGTTCCCACTCTTCTCTTGTTCTTTTAGACTGCATTAACACCGAATTTGAACAAATTTCTAACAGCCGATGTCACTAAACTCAAATTACTCCTAAGAATCCCAATATAAACCCATTAACTATAGACCAACACCTCATTGGCTAGAATCCACGTTGCTTTTCCACAACAATCATCAGCTTCTTCAGTTGGAGTGCTACAAGCCCATGTCTCTATACTTATGTTATTACTAAAAGTTCGCATGGCCAACCCGAAAAATTCACAAAGAAAACACAATCAAAAACGCAAAAAAAAAAAAAAGAACAAAAGGGTTTCTTGAATTTCAACCAAAGATTATAACAAAACCAATAAAAAGATTAATAAATGTTTACTTACAGAAGATTCATCGACTTAAATAGATGGTAATTTCTTCTCAGTTGCAATAAAAACACCGTTTGCCGCTACAACACCAAAAAAAAAAAAAATCAACAACATACTATCTAAGCACCCATCAACAACACAGTACATTCGAAAATGACAAGAAAATGAGAAAAAAAGAAGAAGAGAGAGAGCTTAAATTGCAACAACCTTTGATTCCGAGAGAAGTTTGGCCTGATCTAACGGCAGTCAATGCGTGCTCAATCTGTACTAGCTTTCCGGTAGGACTGAAAGTAGTGAGAGAAAAGGAGTACTGGCTATCACCCATGGTTTATTGCTTGAAGACGCAGAGAGGAAAAGCTGAGAATGCGAGCGTGTGGGAGAGAAAGACAGGGATATTTACTTGGGGTTTGAACTTTGCTTTTCTTGTTGGAGAAGAGGGTGTTTTCTTGCGAGGGCTCTTACAATGGTGTATTTGGGGCTTTTATGACGGCAGGTTGGTGCTCTTTACATTGAGCTCAATGAAGGCTTTAATTTTTTAAACTTAACTTCATCCGGGTCAGTTCACGGGAGGAGAAGTTTTTTTTTTAAGAAAATAAAATAACATTATTTTTAGTAATTTTTTTAAATGGTATTTTACCTGAGCCCGCAGGCTATATATAAAGTTTTTTTAAAAAAATAATATTTTTTTAATATTTACTTGTTATTTTTATTCTAAAAAGTATGAGATTTTCACTTTATATTTGTTATTGTATAAAATTTTATTTTTTAATTTGGTCTTTAATCTTTGATTTGCACAGTCAAGTTCTATTTAAAAAACAATTAATTTTAATTTTTTATAAAAAGATTGGATTGGAAGAGAGGGAACTAAAATGAAAAACATAAGAGACATGGGTAACACATCATAAATTTTAAAAATATTTATTTTAATTTTCTAACTTAAACAATCATGTAAATTATATAATGTTGGTTCCTTAAAATTGTTCCAATTCCATTTTGGTGCAAAGATTTATTTTTATTATTTTTTAATTCCTGATTAAGAGAGTAGAGAGAGGGATCACTAGATTTCAATAATTAAAAAAAAAAAATTTCATTGACACCAACTTAAACCACTGAAATAAAAGATATTTATGTCAGATTATTAAGGGAGTTCTTATTAGGTGTTTTTGTAATTTAAAAATTCATAAAAAATAGATATTAACTCAGGTTAATTTTTTTATTTCAGATTATGTTCCGTTTTTAAGGTAGTTTTTTGGATCTAGTATGGTTTCTTGATCCAAGTATTTAGGATCTTACATAGTTGCTATAAAAATATAACTTACATAGTTGATTTTTTTATTTCAGATTATGTTCCGTTTTTAAGCCGTGCAGGACTTAGGATTATTTGGGTCGTGTACTTGATAGAATTCAACGTTATTTTTGAGTTCTGCAACTAATAATTTATATTTAATATCTAAATAAAACTAAATGTAAAATTAAGTATAATTTGATAAAATTATTATTAAAATATATTTGGTAAAATTAGTAGATGATATAACATTTTCTTTCAAATTCATCAATTATTTTATTAATAATATTAATTACAATAAAATATACTCTTACAAATTTTAATAAAAATAATAATATTTTATAATACAACTGATAACATTTTTAGTATTAATATAAACAAAATATTATTTGTAACACCAATAATAATAATATTTTTTAGATTAATACTATTAATTAGACTAAAAATAATATTAAAAAATAATAATAATATTTTTAATACTAATACAATTAATTATACTAAAAAAATATATTAAGAAAAAAATATAATAATACTTTTAATATTAATTATACTAAAAAAAATATTAACAAAATAAATAATAATATTTTTAATACTAATACTTATAATTATACTAAAAATATAAGTAGTACAAGCTCCAAGTGGCGCTTGGACTACACTAAAGAGAAAGCATATTATTTTAAAATATTATTTATCCACTAATTGCAATTGAATTTAAAATAAATACACTTTTAAAATTAATATAAAGTTATCAAGAGTCAATTTAATAGCTGCTTGCATAAAATCTCATTGAATTTAGCCAATGTTTTTTAGAATAAAGTGAAATAAAAAGTTATTTCAAAACATAACCAGTGTTTGCTTACAACATTTTTCTTTTCACCATCTCGACCAATCACGCTTGATTCATCAACAAAGGAGGTAGTTGTTAGTCGCTGGAGTTCATCAGTGGCTCTGTACAGATCAAAGCCATACTTAGCTCTCTCTTTGGCAATGTCATCCACTTTTTCACTAACTTCTTTGATCTTAAGGGCAATGTCGCGACGTCGAACCACTTGATTGAGACAAGAGCAAGGAGATTTCAGGAAGGAACATCGCATCTTCTGTAGGCTGCGAGTATTTTCTTCAGCTTCCTCCATTTTCCATCTAAGAATTGCAGTGCTCCATTCATCTAGGACGTCATCCATGTCATAACATACATCTTTGAGCTTGTCTACCCAATCCCTTACAGCCTTATCCTTCATTTGTTTTCTATCTGCATCTTCAAGGACAGATTGGATAGAAAGGAGATTGCTTTTCAGCTTGTCGACTTGTTTCTTCACATCCCCTACTAGGCTCACCTCTTCTAGTACCTATAAGTGTGGAAAAGATAAGGAAGTTCAAGCAGAGGAAACATTTCCATGATTTCACGACAAGTTTTTAATTTTAATTTTTGGTAATTAATAGATTAGATAATTTTTATTAATCTTTTTTTCGCAGTAGGTGACACGTACTGTGAAATGGATTGGCTATATTAATAATTTATATATAAAATATTTATTAGTAACCAATACATTAAAAATAATAATATTTCTTTTTATCATCATCATGATGATATCTCTGCCTGCAATCTGCTACTATACAAGAAGGAAGAAAATGAACCTTAAATTGTTCGACGTCAAACCTACATATAACATAAGCTTGGAAAAATAGAGAATGAAAGGATCTGTATTTGTTGGTATTCGTAAAATCTATTTGCAAATAAATATTTCTTGGTATTATAATAAGATTGTGGAACTTATTATTTTAACATCTGATTGATTATTTTACCCTTAGTAGTTCAGTTTAATGAGAGGATCGACAACTCCATTTTCCTTCTAAGAATATTTGTTGTAGATTATTTCCAGAAATATGAAAAATAATAAAACAATAAAAAGAAATTTCTTAAATAAAATCCAAATCTAGATCTGAGGATTTGATATTTTATTTTATTTTTCTAATAAAGGAAGAAAAAGAGACTTCATTTTTATATTTCTTATTCATGTAAGGGTTAACTAGATCATTGCAAATTGTATAAAAGTAATTACCTGTTGAGCAACGACCGCGCTTAACCGCTCCAAAATTGCCGATAAAAGTGCCTCTGCCATTTGCCTGTTTAATTTAATTTAATTTAATTATTTTTAAAAAAGAGACAATGATGATAGGACGAACTGAGAGAGAGAGAAGAGAGTGCGAGTGGAAGGAGGCTGCTAGTTTAGTTAGTTTATGTGCTTAGGGTTTGGTGATGAGGGTTGAGTTTTGTTTCAGTCCCTGTACGGTTTCTAACACTTCAATTCAGTCCCTATATTCTTGTAGCTTTTCAGTCTAGTCCTGGTTCTATGTTTCTACCGAAATTGACATGCCATTTTGAGTTCCGAAGGTGAAGCACTCGTGGTTTTCAATTCTACCGAGTTCTAGGCTAATGATTATTATTTGTGGAAAGTAATTTCTTCGATATATAGCAATTATTTTGGATTGATACTGACCTTAGTTTAAGAATGCTGTAGTTTCTACTGAAATGTTTCTGATAGGGACAAATGATTATAGCATTCTACTGAAATTCCTGCTTCTCGTCTGTTTCTCTATTTCTTCTCTTCATTTTATGTTATTCCACTAATATTCCAAACTGGATCATGGTAATATATATCTGTCCATCCAAACTAATTGCAAAGAAACCTGATTAATACGAAAGCTAGGTTATAAAATATCATCAGAAAAAGTGTTGATTTGAATAATGATCTTAGGAATTTGTTCAATTGAAGGTACACTTTTAAACCTATCATTTAATTAAATCAATTAAATCTATATAATTGTTGAAAAATAAAAATAACTGGAGATTAGGTAGTGGCATGATTGGTGGAACATGAGTGAAGATGAGTTATTTGCATAATTTGTGACATAATTGATGTCATGATTTATGACTTCTATCTTCTTATTTTTGCCTATAAATAGACAATGCCTTTAAACTTATTTTACATACCAAAAATGAAAGAAGATCAGGAGAGTGAAGAGAGAGTAATCTCACAAAGTTATGAGGTATTTGTAAGAGAGCAAGTAAGGTGTTTTCTCTTAGTAATTAATAAATTCTTAGTTATTCTCCTATTATTTGAGAGAGATTGTAATTCTCATATTATTTAGTAAAATTCTTCTATACTTACCCACAGATATAGCTTAATTGGATGAACCACATAAATTCTTATGTGTCTAATTTCTCATCTTATTATATCTCTTACCTTTTATTTTATCGAGTTTACATACTAATATTTTAACAATGATGTAAGAACTTTTTTAATTAGTGTTGTTAACACACAAAAATTACTCATAAAAGTTATTCGTAAGTAAGAAATAAAATCCAATTACAGTAAAGAGGTCACTTAGAGTAAATAGTAAGGCTTACATATAATTAATACACTCAAAGCAAATAATAATAATAATACACTCAAAGCAAATAATAATAATAATAATACACTCAATGCAGGTTCTAACGAAAATAAATGTTTGGGATGTGAGAAATCTTTTGCCAATCTCCATCCATCTCCTCCTTCCCGTAACGTTTCCTTAGATTGGGGCAATTGGTTATGTCCAGTTCCTGTAGAGGCGCTGCCAAAACATAGTCTGGTAATCTCAACAACGGGCACAAATCAATCACCAACACTCGAAGTTGTGGCATAATGGATATTATTGAAGTTGTGTTGGCATCTTCTTCTCCCACTGATCTGCTTTCAATCCCATCCCACTCTTCTAGTTCTATGAGAAGCGCAATCCTAAGTTCTTTCAATTTGGGGAAAGCAGTGACCCTTGCAATTTCTCTTTCATCAATACTGGCATTCTCATCTTTTTCTATCCCTAAAAATCCAGCATCCAGCCTTCTCACCTTCCACAACAACCTCAATTCCAAGCTTTCAAGGTTGGGCAATCTTCCCAACGGAGGCAAGACCTCCACGTTTTTGCAATGAACGAGTGAAAGCCGCCGTAATCTGGTTAATGTCATCATCCAATTTGGCAAATCCAACCCTCCGTGCCCATCTATGGTTAGATCATCCAAGTCTGACGGAGGCCTTAAAGCTTCAATTAAAATGCCGGTCTCCTGGCTGTCGTCGAAACCCAACCGCAAACGAAGCAGGCGCTTCTTATTCTTGAGTTGTGCTTTTGCAGCGTCACTCGCATCTTCTACACCTCCCCGTAGGTTCCGTATCTCAAGACT